TATAATAAAAATAATGAATAAGTAATTAAAAAGTTATATGTTAACTAAAATAAATATAAAAATAATATTTTTTTTAATTAAAAAAAAAAAACTAAACTTCTAAACTCAAATAGCAAACTTACATTGGCTAAACGAAAGTTTTAACAGTTGCAAATATATTCCGTTTGGCTAACATTTAGCCAATGTTTATTTTAGGCATTTTATTTTTAAGTATGCTAGATATCGTAAAAGGTTCTTTATGACAAATAAACTTCAAGAGTTTGTCATGATTTAATGTTTTTTTTTTTTTTTTTTTTTTTTTTTTGGTAATAAAATAATAATTATCATCTAAATAATGTACTTATAACGTTTTTTTACAACTTAAATTAATGTAAAAATAAATGCAATAAACAAATTACTTTTTTGTAAGATCTTATAGCTAATATTTTTTCGATACAGTTTTTACAGTATTGACATTGCAAATGTTTGATTCATTTAATAAAGATGATATTTATATTGCCTTCTTTATTACAGAAATCAAATATTTGAAAAGGTCGTACATAAATATGTAATAAATAAAAAAATAATTTAAAGATTCTACGCAAAAGTAGTTTAGAAATGTATTGATACCTGCAATTTATAAATCACTTGTGTGGCTAGTGTCATAAGATATACAATTTTATATATGTCTACTACAGTGGCTTTATGGTTGTTAGAAGCTGATGTTTTACATTTTAAATATGTTTCTTTTGTTTGATTATTTCTGTGTTTGATTATAAAAAATCTACTAACATATTAAAACAGTGTACAAAAGTGATGTTACTAGAATTTATATTCTTCTGTTGTAGAGCTTTCTAGTATTGCCAAACATCTTATTTTAAGACTAATGGCTAGTCTATAACAAATAATTGAATTATGAGATTAAATCAGTAAACAATCATTAAAAATAACTAAAATAAAAAAAATCAATTTAAATTATTATTTTTAATTTTCTGATTTAAATCAAAACAACCCTATATATATTCCATCTTTCTGTTGCAGAGAGGAATTATTCTTGGTTTTATTTTTTTTAATTTTTTTTATTAGAATAATGTTAATATTTAGTTAGCGTACAACAGTGGACAACCTTAGGCTTATACATTAACTTTAGTTATAACTTAATTATTAATGAATTGATTGATAGATTTTTATAGCCATGCAGATTGAACTTATCAGAAAGCTAAACTTTTGCTCTGAAGACAAAAAAGAAAGACAGAAAAAATGATCAGCCAAAATAAAGATTAAAGAGGGAACAAATTTTGTATATCTTGGTTTAGACGATTCTTTAGAATATTTTAGTGATGAATAATCCTGAAGTTTTTATAATAAAACATAAAATTTTATTAAACATTGGGATTTACATATACTACCAAACTCTTTGCAGATGTTCAATGTTTGTTCTTATAGGTTGAATGAACAAAATTTATCAAACGGTAAGTTTTAATTCCATGACTTTTTGTCTTATTATTGAAAACATTTACTCATAACTTTAGCTTTTACAATTTTTAAAGACTTTTTTATATATTACAATCAAAAAGTCAGAATGTTAATCAACATTTCACCAACTTACACCAAATTTGAAATCCTTTTGAAATTAACACATGAAAAAATGATTGTTTATTTTTACCCACTACATAAACTTTTATTTAAATTTATCTAATAACGAAGGTAATAAAATATTTTGATAGATGATATTATCTTTAAAAAGTGTATTATTATTAAAATTCAGAATTAAAATATGTAAAAAAAAAAAACATATTTAGAAAGAGGGTTGGACTATCTTTAAAACATGGACCGGAAAAACCATTAGTGACCGGCTTTATCAAATTGTAACAGCCTTCTTTTTTAAAATGTTTTTATATTTATAATAAAAGATTGGGTGACACTTTTTTCTATAATTCAATAAATCGAATATTATATCGACAGACGATCTCGCATAACAGCGGTTTCTTAAAAAAAATAGACCTAGTTCTAATAAATGTCTTTTCACAAGTTTTTACGCATTGTTGAACTTTTTTAATTTCAAGGAGATTTCTTTAAAAATGACAAAAAGTGTATTTAAAACTTAGTAGAAACTCATTACTCAAGGAGATAATCGTTTTTAAATTTTCTAAGGTTTTTTATCAAGTTTAAGGAGGTTTTAATTGTATAAGGTTTTAAATGAAGGGCAGAAGCCATGTAACACATTAATAAAATAATACAAATAAAGAAACCATTGTATTTAAAAACTAATGAGGTATAATATTCTAAATTATTAATTTTTTTTTTAGTAAAGAACTATGTTTACAATATCAATAATTTTGTCGTGTGTTAATTTTTGTAAAATGTCTATATTTAAATTCATTAACATCTAAGCATCCAAATTGTTAAACAATGAACAATTCCGTATTTAAATAATTCAAGGTAGAAAAACTTTTTTCACGGCCTACTTGGGTTAAATTTTTCTTTTTCAAAGACAGGACCACTGTCTTTAAGGGTCTAGCGCATTTCAACACATTCATTTTTGATTTTTAAATAAAAAATAAATTAAAAATAAATTGTAAAAAACCTAACAATTTTTTTTAACTAAAATATCCTTTTGTCACATTTAAAGTACCATCTACTTCAAATTTAAAGTGTTTCTGAACTTAATTAAATAAAATACAGTACTAGACAAAACATTTGCAACCAACATTGAACAATGCTAAAAAGTTTTCCTAATTTTACATGTCTTGAAAACGAAACAAACTATGCTACCACAGTAAACAGTTTAGCAGTCTGGAGTTATATCATGTCATGAAATGAGCAATCAGCTGACAGGTGACATCGCACCAGATGAATTTCGTTGACAAGTGCCATTTTGCAGCAGACAAAACAAGTGCAACTTTTTTAGTTTGTTTCATTTTCTTAAGTCTGGTCCGTGTCAACGTCACGGAAGTTTTTTAATAATTAAAGCAAGTATCCAGAAAATTCTAGAAGTTTCCAGAAGCATGCAGAAGCTTCCAGAAGTTTCCAAAAGAAGCATCTGGAAGCATTCAGAAGCATCCAAAAGTATCTAGAAACATTCAGAAGCATCAAGACCCATCCAGACGCATCCAGAAGCTTCCAGAAGCATCGAAAAGAAGCATCGAGAATCTTCCAAAACAGGTTCACACAGGTTCATTTTACTATATAAAAGACATGTAAACTGTCATATAATTCAGTAAGTATATAAGTCAATCCGTCAGTATTATCAAGACAGTTTATCGAAGTGAGTTTTATAAAATTGTTTTATCGAAGAACGTCAATACAAGAAGTGAAATACAACAAGTGTTTTATTACTTCAATACAGTCCTCATCCAACTAAGACGTTGTGTTCCACTGAGGATTATTGTATCATCACAGGGTAAATGTAACACAGTAAGCCTTGAGAAGCGTGATTGTTTTTTAAACTATTTTAATAACTTCAAGTGCAAAAATGGCTAACGACAGTCTTGGATTGAAACTAAGAATTAAAATTATTGGAAGTTACGTAAGTGGAATGTCACAAAAAAGTGTTTGTGAAAAAAATCGCGTGAAAAAATGGAACTTTTCAAGACTTTATAACGGTATTTGTTTCAAATATCGTTCTACGGGGAATTTGGCAGCCAATAACATAGGTGGAAGACCGCATTCCACCACTTCTAGAGAGGGTTCTATGATCGTCAGATCCGTCAAGATGATCCCTGGATATAATCAGTCGAGAAACAAAAGCATGTATCTGACCAAACAATCAGATGACGTGGGGTGAACCCGGATTGTTCTCTCGACGCCCTGCAAAGAAACCGCACATCAAATCAATGGAAAATGGACCGTCATCTATCGGTGATGGATTAGCTGCCTTAATCTCCGGATCTCAATCTTTATAACCGGTCAATAGTAATAAAATAAAAATATAAAAGAAAGCCACAGCCTATAAGTTACAACAACCAAGAGTATTTAAAAAAATTAATTACCGCGACATATCGAATAGGTAAACCTATTATTTTAAACATCTCTACAAATTTTGGACATTTTTTTGCTTCATTATTCAATATTGTTTTGTTACGCTCACTTTGTTTTTCTGCACCTCAATTTTTTTTTATTAGAGTGCTTCTTTTATTTTGCGTTTGTTAAACTTAATTCTGATGATTTAATTAACTTACAGAATATATATGTTCAAAGTTGTAACTAAATGTATTTCTTAATGAACTAAACTGTTTGTAATAACAATTATAATGACATATTACATAACAGGAAATCGGATAAGGATAAGCTTAAATTTAAAATTACACAAATAGCATCACGAAAGTTGAAAACATATCCGTAATGAAAAAAAATTTCCATAACTAGACGTATTTTTAGAAATAAATTTGGTTGGGGCTTTAGTAGTTTTTTTTTTATATCTTTATTTACCAGTTTTATGGTACTCGTGAAACGTCATAAAATTAAACTGTTATTATGTCTTATGTTTATTATTAATATGATTTGATGGAATTTCAAGTGGGAAAAATACTTTTTTTAGTAAGTACAGTAACAGGCGGAAGCTGGCGGAAACAAACAATAAAAATGCCCGGCCTACCAGGATATTTCTGATGTCCTGGTGGGGTAGTCCAACCTTGTTTACAAGCATTGGACATGGTTCATACTGTACCTGGAAAACCTGGAAAGTTAGTTCATTTTGGCTAAAGTCATGAAAAGCTTGGAAAAGTTAGGTAATTTTTTTAACTTTAGATAGTCATAAAAAAGTCAGGGAATCCTGATTGAGAAATTACTCATTTACAATTAAGCTACTATCTTTATTTGTGTAACCCATTTATTTTTTCTACATCTTTTTTTTTTCTTAATATTCATTTTTAGTCATCCTTAATAAAATGATCCATAC